TAGCTACCTGAATAACTCGAATTCGATCTATTTATCCATTTAGGTTAATTTTTTTAAATAACATATTAACTATAAAATTTATGATATTTTATAAAAAAATAATAAGGGTATACCCACATATAAAAAATTAAGGAACAAATATGTTAAACATATCATTTTTTGATACAAAATAGGTTCGAGTGTCAACCCAAATTTCAACCCATTTATTAAACGGGTCAATCCTAACTTGAATTTTTTTAGGAAAATTCAGGTTGGGTTGGCGGATCAGGTTTTCATTAGGGATGTCAAAACTAGTCAGCGGATCAAGTTCGGGTCAAACCCGACTTTGACCCGCTTAGTTTTGACTTAACCCGGATCCGACCCGACTTGAATTTGGATCATTTATCTTAACCCGAATCTGACCCGATCGGGTTTCGGGACAACCTGAATTGACCCGACAACCCGCTTTGTTTGAAATTTTTATTTTTTAAATTGAATTGTTTACAGTTTACTAGTTTATTGTATAAAAAGTTTTGATTAGTGTATAAAAGAAAATTTTAAGTAGATTTAAAATTTACAAATAATTTTGTGCTTATTTTTTTAAAACATTGAGCATTTGAGCAATTTTTTTATTTCAAAATCAGCAATAGCAAATTGAAAAAAAAATCTGTGAATTAATACATGAAATCTGTACATCAATTTTTTGTACAACAATTTATTTTATTTCCTTGCAGGGCCAATAAGATCAATTTTGCAACACACGAATTAATTTTCCTTGCAGGGAATAATTTTTCTTATTTCCTTCAGCAATGCACGAATAAATTATAAATTCAACAGATAATTTTGCAACTGATCTATTTGCATTCTAGCCAAATTGATCTATCGCATTCCAGTGGAGAACAATCTATCTTCAAGACTTCAAGTAGAATTAAATGCAAAAAAAAATGGTTAAATAGATAATATTTTAAAATATGAGTTCTTAGGAGATTTGTTAATAGCTCAGATTTATCCTTCAACTTATTCAGCAACTAATAAAATGTGAGTGAGTAACAAATATATAAATCTATTTTAACCCCTCCTGAACTATAAAATTAACAATGTGTGCAGTATATCGGACATGAAAAAATGCTCGTTCACTTAGCAGACCATTAGGCATTGTCCAAACTCCAAAGTGCTATTGAAGAGCTTGGCCTCTATTTTCCATTCAAGCACAAGAGATTATAACTTCTCAAATATCAATATTCCATCATAAGGGGGTGGCATGAAAGAAAAACTTATGATCTTTTTATGTAGGTTCCAATCATTATCGATAAAATGCACTGTTAAGCAAATAACCCGTTAGTGTTTATAGACGTCCATAGAGCTGATGTTAGACAAAATTTGCTAGTGCACTTAGATAATTGTGATCGTATATAAGTTTTTTCTTTAGTGAATAATTTTTTATAATCATTCCTTGAAGTATTCCTAGAAAATAGTTGTAGGTCTCGACGAAGATATGACAAAAGTGTTCGAACACTAACACATTCAACACAATGGAAGGGCAAAACATGCATAATGATACATACAGTAAATAAATCGCAAAATTCTGCCAAATAAAACCTACAATCAGCCATAGAAATAGATGAGTTAGAGTTGTTTGGCAGTATAAGCTTACCTATATCCCGCAAATCTCTTCTCTTGCAATTTTGCAAGTGGTACCTTAAATTACCAGTGCTATTTTGCTATCACATAGAAATTGTGTACTGCATTTTTTACATTTACACATTTTATTTATAATCTTTGACATTAGATAACATCTCAAATTGACCCCAAACAGTGAAGTCATCCTTCTACCCTTCTTAAGAATTTATGAACCATCAGTATATGCATCATTAGATGGCTCTACCACATTATCACCACTACTACCCACTTGCTCATTCTCATCAACAAAATTATCATGAAAGGTGTTTGAATCCTTCATCTAGCTAACCAAAATATGATACATGTAGTAAATAAATATGTCATATAATTTCTTAAATGTCAAACTAGTTATGTAGTACACAACAATGAACAATGTAAACCATGAAAGAGATCAAGGAACAATTCTGATTTCAATTGCGAACAAAACACTAAAACCTAACTACAAATTACCCAGCAACCATTTCCACACCACTAAAACCGAACTATAAATTTAACAATATAAACTAAGTGAAAAAGGTCAACAACGGTGATTTCAGTTGCATTGTTGCAATAGGCATGTAACAACGTTCAACGCAAACTAAGAGCTTAATAGCATATAACAATAAACAATGTCGAGTACAGGAACGGAGCCACACGAGAACTAAAGAACAATTCCAAGTCTCCAACATCAACTAAGTTAATATCATATTTGTTGCATGATGTTACAATGTAACCAATGCAATTATAGGTAATATTTTAAAGCATTTATGATTCAACAAATAAAAAATGAAAAGCCATAAAAATTCATAAGGAAAAATGAAAGAAAAGAAATTGAAGCCCTAACTGCTTGTTTGCTTCAATGCAAAACTGCTAAAATCAAGAGGTCCGAGACCAATCTTCATTTGCAAGTGCTATAAACAAAATATTAAACAACATAACATTAAAAATTTTCAACATGGTAAGCATTAAAGCTCACGAAAAAAACCCTAAACTCAAAAAAGTTTAGCCTACAATAATCACCTATTCTTCAACTTCTAAAATATCAAAAAATCAAAACATAAAAGAGATACCAATAGTGTTATTGTTCTTGAGAGTTGAGGCTACAATGCTGACATGAAAGGAGATTGGGAGAACTTATGGTTTATGAACGCATGCAACGGCAAGAATCTAAGTAGCGAATAAACTGAAGGAATTAGAACTTAGAAGAGGAAGGAAGAGAAATGAAGGAGTTGGAACTTAGAAGAGTAATGCAAGTGAGAAGAGCTCCCGCAGAGAAACCCAGAAAAGATGAAGGAAGAAGTCATAGAATGAACGAGCAGTCACCTAATGGGTGAAACAAAAAGAATTATAAGATTGTAACTTTGTAAGTCAGCCTGCTGCGGCGCTGCCCAGTTTAATTACGGATTAGTCTCAGGTTTTCAGGTTAAACCGGATCCGACCCAAAAGTTGAAACAGGTCAAAAATCGGGACTTGAATCCGACCCATTTTTCAAACAAGTTAACCCTAACCCGAAAATTTTAAGTCGTGTTCATGTCAAGTTTCCGGGTCATGTCAATTTTTAACCCTAGTCATTATTGACACCCCAACCCCCTCCCCAACGTGTCCGGTCGTCATTATTATTTTGTTGAGTGCCAACATTGCCCTAGACACTATCATCATAGCAATCATCATAACAACTCATAAATAAACAAAATATGATATTTTTAAGATATCAATTTTATTGTTGTGTCCATCAAAATATAAATAAAAAACAAAAAAACAAGTGTGGCCTTAAAATGGAGAGCGATTATTCTGTGTGGACACCGGATGGGAGAACCGTCCGATTCAACATTCGGTACCGAGCAATACCGAGTAGTACCGAGCACAGTACATTTTTTAAGTACGTGACGTATTTTTATTGGTCTCTAGACGAATCTAAATCCGCACTAATAATTTTTCCTTAAAATGCCCTCCTTAGTTTATAATGGTTATGTTTTCGGAAATAACTATAATAAAAAGTGCAAACAGTGATAGAAAGATATTTCACATTTGAGCAATTATCATCAGAAATAAAAGCCTATTGAAGCGTCAAATTGAAGAAAAACGTTTAGTCCAGCTATTTATTTCCTTGCAATTTCCACTCGCCCACTTCTGCGTTTCGAAGAGCTGACTCGGTCAGGCTGTTATCCACCAGATCGTTTAACAAGGTAATCTCTTCTTCTCCGTCCTCTCGATTTTGATTGATTATACAGTTCTGTTCTCAATCTGCCAATTTTATTAGAGATTTCTCTAGGTTTTCGTAAGGGGCTTGGATTTTTTTGCCTTTTATGATGCTTTTCCGACCTTCGAGGTCATGGTGTTTTTTTTTTTTTTTGGGAAATTGGGTCATGGTGTTGTAATTTCACCCATTTTTGATCGAATTTTAGTTTTCCATATAGGAGGGATGTCTTCTTCGCTTCTTGCTTAGGGTTGTTTCGAATCTCTTTAGATAATACTCTTTCTTGGGTTTCTTCCTTTTAGGATGTGCTTTTTCAGACAAGGTTTCTTGCTTTGGAGTTGTGCCCGTTATGAGAATTTTTTTCAGCCGTGACCTGGATTTTGATTAGATCTATTTTTTGTATGCCTTGCTTCCTACTATTTGAAATGGATTTTTAGGTTTTGCGTTCTCTGTTATGTTAGGTTCTTCTCACAACTTCGTTACTGCAGTTGAACGAGAGGCTAAAGTGGAGATTGGGCGATGGCTGATGCTATGACTACTAGCCACTGGTGCCACATGTGTCGGCAAAGAGTGAACCCACTCTTGGAAACTGAGCTTAAGTGCCCTTTTTGCGATTGTGGATTTGTGGAAGAAATAGCCGGAAGGGAGGCGGCCGAATCCGAAGATGTTGGATCCGAGCGAGCCGTCTCTTCATGGGCTTCAGTAATGATGGATATGATGGGTAATCCGTCTCGCCGGTCTCGGAGCCGGAGATTTTCAAGAATAGAAGATGATGATGACTCTGATCTGGAGCGTGAGCTAGAATCCATTCTGTGGAGGCGACGGCGGGAGACAGATGAGGATGTCTGGAGAACTAGGATGGATGAGGATGATGAGGATTCGGATGCTGAGAATGAACTGGAGTCTATTTTGCAGAGGAGGAGGCAGAATTCAGCCATACATCAACTGCTTCGTAGCCTCCGAGATGATTTTAGGTCGGAATCTGATGAACCTGAGATGGAAAGGGAGGTGGAGAGGGAAAGGGAAAGCGACAGCCTGGTTCTGATTAATTCTTTTAATGAGGCTGTTATCCTTGAAGGATCCTTTGATACTGATCAGAACCCAAATCAAGAGTCAGATAGTACTACCATTGGTGCCTCCATTGGAGATTACTTTGTTGGACCCGGACTTGAAATGCTATTCCAGCATTTGGCTGAGAATGATCCCAACTGCTATGGCACGCCACCTGCACAGAAAGAGGCTGTAGATGCGTTGCCAACTGTGAAACTTCAGGAGAATATAAACTGTCCGGTCTGTTTGGAGGATCTAGAAGTTGGAATGCAAGCTAAAGAAATGCCATGTAACCATAAGTTTCATAAAGATTGTATTTTTCCATGGCTGGAGCTCCATAGTTCTTGCCCGGTATGCAGGTTTCAGTTGCCTGCTGATGAGTCAAAGGATTCAAGTGGGTCAATTGTTGAGAGTAGGGAGAGGGGAGTTAGTAGTGATGATGGTATAAGAGGAAGGAGGGATAGATCTAGGACTCCTCCTAGGACCTTCAGTGGAACGTTTTAATATTCTGTTTTCATGGTAATGAAAAAGCTTTCTTGACTGAGCTGCACTCATTCTCAGCATCTAATCACAAAACTCCTGTAGATGTTTACTTTATGCTAAGCTTTTCCGGCCTTATGTACATAGTCTTGTAATTCCATACCTTTTATTATGGTAGTGCGGACTGCAGAACCAGAGAGCACATTTTGTTAAGTATTTCAGAATTTCCTGCCTTCAATCCATGTGGAGCCAACCGGGCTTTGCTGAATTGATGTGAGCTTTCTCGTTATGTTTGCACTTCGTTTCTTCATAGTGGTTCGACTTTGCACTTAAGTCTGGTAAGCAGTTTGAATGAGGATCAATTATCAACATATGCTGAGATGGCTCTTTCTGTTTGTTGATTTGGATTATGCTTCCTATTACTTATGGCCTGTCTTGTATGTGTTGCTTTATAATGTAGAAAAACTTTATAGGAATATCATTTTTCTATTAAACATCTTTCATGTTGATTTTATGGTTAGAACTGTAGAGACTTAGTGGCTCTTGGCAGATATTATGTTACAGATATGTGATTTTTAGCCATTAGACTGAACTTTCTTTAATTACCAGTTGAAATGTGTTTTTTGCATTTTTTACTTGCCAATTGCAGAAACTTTGAAATGATCACGACTAAAGTGTACTAACATCTTGAGAATCTATGTTGGAATATCCTCTACTGCATAGCAAGACCTTGCAGATATGCTTAAATTTTTTAAGGGCACAGTATGCCCACTGCTCTAATTTTTTTGCAAGGAACAGATGGACAGGAATTGTGTCTTTTTTTTTTTTTTTTTTTACGTAGAATATTCTTTGATAAGTTGTTAGAATCCAAAATACGGATCTCCATCATGTACTTTTCTTTAGAGTCTTGCTCATATTGTCTCTTGTGTTTTGGGTCACGAGTTCTTTTACATATTTAACATCCAGTATGTTGGGTCACTGTCCTGATTATGTGAGTTATATGAGTCCTGATTATGTGTTACATTGCCTTGTATTTGGTCTTGCATGTGCTTGAGTTAGCCCAGCTTTTTCCCTTGAACTTTTGGGCCAGTTCTTTGACTACCACCGCATTATTTGGCTGCCAATTCATCCTTTGGTATTGTATCATTTTCTACTGCCTATTCACCCAACTTTATCTCTCTCTTGTGTAAATAAAAGATAATATTGACCTTAGAAATACTTTGCATTTATTGCCTTCCGTTCAAAAATGCATTCATGCACTTAGGTATTAAAAAAAAAAAACTTAAAAAATTCTCACCAAGTCTTCAAACCCCACTAAATCATGTACATTTATATATATATTACATTTTTATATATTTATTCCATGGTAAATATATATAATGAATGTTGAATGAAATTTGTTTCTGTTGTGTGAAATACTCTTCTTTATTTGCTTTTCACTTCAAGTGAAGGACTTTTTGAGTGTCTGAATTTAGGCCTAGTTTGATTGGAAGTTTTTTGTGCTTATTCCTTTTTAAAATGATAAATTTATTTCTTCTTTACTATTTGGTTCCTCAAACCACATTCCCAATAACACCATTTTTTTTAATTTTTCTGATGTTTTAATAAAGCTTTTTATATATGCTTCTCCCTTGAAAATTTTCTTTCTCTGAAATGATGTTTCTTACAACTACTTTTTACAAAAGTACCGGATAACCAAATGAAGCATTAATATTGAAGGACTTCCGAAAAATAAGGAGATTATTGCGACAATAGCTGTTCTTAGATGCCGCCTTCAGTTATCCACAACTCCATTTCTGGTTGTGTTTAACACCTACACAAGGTTAGATCATTCTCTAAGTTTGTACTTTTCTTTCTTACTTATTATGGTCAGGCATCTTTATTGGTTAACATTCCTTGAGCTAGCATCACTTTTCTTTCATTATGCTTGTTATTGTTCAAATAAGTTTATGATAGTTGTGTACTTAAACATAGCTCGAGTAAGAAATCTATTACCATGGATGTTGTAATAGGCTTTTACATTCCAAGCCAGAAAAAAAAAATCAGTTTTTGTTCTCCCTCTGACACCGGCCAGGTAGGGGGCTCGATGAATACACGTCGAGGATCCGGTGACGGTCGCCGGACACCGCTCCAAGAACTTCTTGGAGGAAAGATCCACCACCTAAGAATCACTCTTAGGATACAGGAAACACATGAGATAAACTCAAATTTTATTCATATCAAAATCTATCTCTATTACAAGTAAAGGCTCCTATTTATAGACAAAGGTAACCCATAATAGGCTACACTCAAAACAAGAGAGCGCTAATTCTATGTAGCCATATACGCTACCAAAAGAAATAAAACTAGACTGAAGTTTAATCGGATAAATCAGCTCAGCTCCGGCGTCACCCTCCCCCTCCCTCTCTCTCTCTCTCTCTCAAACCAAGAAGAACAAGTAGCTCCCCTCAAGAAATCCCAACACTTGCCATTGTTGTTATCATTTGTGTATCGTAGTATTGTTAAAATTAAGTGAGAAACTCTAGATCTTCACTTTATTAGGTCATGTAATGTACTCGATCTTAAAATTTTGGTTTACACATCATTGTATTTTTATAGTAGAGCAAATGTATATTTCAAATCTGAACCTTTTTTGTCACTTTATATTCTATCCTCATTTGTTGCTCTCAGTATTTTGATCATAATTTAACCATTTTACATCCAAATCTTACGTACAAGTAGTTAACTTTCATCAGCTTTTCCAAAAGAATGCTTTTTCAAGAATTTTCTTCGAAAGCTTTTTCTTCAAATCTTTCCATTTTGATACTTTCAATATGTCTGCTCGTAGTGGGCGCCCGTAGCTAATCGGAATGGCTTATTATGATGGATATTCTTTTCCACATGAAACCTAGTCAAACCTTTATACCTGAGAGTAACATCGTAAACATTATATAGATTGTCATATATATATATATATATATATATGACCCCTTGTGCTTTGGGTTATGAGTTATTTATTGTATTTTGACCTCCTATGTTAGGTTATTAGTCATATGAGTTGTGTGAGTCATTATCATGTGATTCATTGGGTATTTGGGTTATATTGAGTCCTTTATGTGCTTGAATTAGCATAGCTCGTTCTGTTGATCTTATTTTTACCACACTTAATTAAATCAAGTGCATTTAATATTTGGAAATACCTTGCATTTATAGCCTACCTTGGAAATACTTGCATGCACATAAAATGGGTGCAAAGTATTCCAAATACAAATTTGGTTTGAAGTAAAACACATATAGTTTAAAATCTTGGTGAATTTGGAATTCACTATCTAGTTTAATTTAGGTATATTTGGAATTCTTCCAATTTATGCGACTTTCAAATATACAGTAAAATCATCTCCATTGTTACTTCCCATCGCTAGCAACCGCTATTACCGGCCATTGCCGTCGACCACCACCCAGTTCTAGCCGTCGTTGTTGCTACCGCCGCCACTACTATCAGTTGTCGCCGATCACCACCGCCCTATCACCAGCCGTTGGTCACCATCTTTGGACTTTGTACTGCATTCATATGAGGTTGTTTGGTTGGCTAAAAAAAGAATGCAATATAAAAGTAATTCTTTAGAGTTATTTGAATAAGTGTAAAGTAAATGTTGATGATTTTTTATTATTATTTGAAGTAAAATAAATGTAGTGTTAACTCCAAAGATGGTGGTGGTGATTGGTAGTCGGTGATGGCTTTGGATGGTGGCAACGGTGGCTGTTAGCCGGCGATCAGTGATGGTGGCAGTCAAACAAGCTTGCTTACGGTGTTACCGGTTCTCACTCAAAACTAAGCGAGTTTAGTTTACCTCAAAAATGAACTAAAATGGTTTACACTACATTTGCTTTACTTTGCATTTCATTTTCATCCAATCAAACAATAATATTTTCAAAATCCCATGCATTTGAAATACTTTACACTCACTTTACTTTCAACAAAGTCAAACAAAAAAAAAATGTTATCACTCGTATTTATTTTACACTCATTCAAATAACTCAAAATAATTTAAATATACTTTATTTCTTATCTTCAAATCAAATAGCACCTATATCTTTAAAATCCGCAAAACCTGAACTTGTGGGCCTTTGGGCCCCCTTCCCATGCATCCAACTTTTGAGCGCTCTAATGCAGGCTAGAGGTTGCCTAATTTTTTGCTGACTGTTGAGCTGCCGCTTCTCCCACGCTACTTGAGTATGGAGTTCACAATCTTTGGATAAGCATTTCCAAGAAAAGGATATCGTGGTAGTAAAGGATTATTTGTAGAGGTTGACTTCAATTATCTCCAACTTCGCTATTGATTGTCTTAACACCTACACAATATTAGATTATTCTCAAAGTTTGTAATATTCTTTCATATTTTCTAAGGCAGATTCTTGACTGTTTAACGTAAGCACCAACACCAATGGTCTTTCATTGTTCTTTTGATCGTACCAATAAGTCAAAAGCAGTTTTTTAATGCTGAGATTTCTAGTTTAATAAATTTGTATTAAAAAGTTATTTTATAAAGCAATGAGAAAACTGTCACAAATGAAAGTTAAGATTGTAAATTCTTTCTTACTTTCTTAATATTAGACTCGATTGATTAATGTAGTTAGAATTTATTACTATATTGTATTTAAATTAAAGAAAATAAAAGTTATTGAAAATTGAATAGATTTGATCAAGTTAAAATTTTATTTGATATACTTTGATTTGAAAATTTTTATGATTTAAAATTTAAAATTGAAACAAATTAATTTTAGATATTATTATAAGTTTTGGTGCATGAGTTTTTGTGATTTTGGGGGTGGACTGTTCAGTGATTTTGATGGCTCTGAGATTCTTTGTTGTTTGGATTTAAGTTTTGAATATAAAATAAAATTAAAAAAAAAAAGTTTTGAATATAAAATATCTTAGTTGATAGATAATGCTCTCATTAATCGATCAAGATGTGTAATGTTTGAGATTTTTTTTGTCATATTGGTGATGCTAATCATGTTAGTATATTTATACTTGTCTTGATATGTTGGTTGAGAGTTTATATGAATTTGTTTTAATTGATTTAAATATTTAAAAAAAAAAAAAGTCAGTATCCTTTCCCAGCTTGTTTATTGGCTCTTCTGTGGCTTGATTAGTGGTGCTTATCTCATTCTAGTGGTTGTGAAAAGCCCTTGTGACAGGCATGCTTTTTAACAAGTGGCGACTTTTCTGTATGTTTTTTTAAATAAATTTTTTGTGATGTTTACTCAAATGATATGATTTTTTAGCTCTTTTATTATTATTATTATTATTATTATTATTATTATTATTATTATTATTATTATTATTATTATTATTATTATTAAATTGCTTTAATCGGATACGTATCTGGAAGCATCTCTGAATTGAAAATATCAGAAATTAAGTTTGGGGCTATCCAAACTTCGACTTAAGCAAACTTATAATTAAATTGAACATCTTAATGAGATGAACCTAATGATATCAAAATTCGTCCAATATGAACCCAAA